AAAATAACGTGCAAATGAAAAAATGGAGTTATTGAAGTTAATCGAAAACGAATATGCATCATCTACCAAAACTACCATCTACTCTTCAGGATACAATTCCTTTATGATATATTTTTTCAATTAATAAACAATAAGCGATAATCACTTTAAAATATTTTTAAAACATTTTAAAAGTATAAAAAGGAAAGTCATTAGAATAATAAAAAAAATGATTATGAAGAGAATCTTTTTTTTTCAAATATTAACTACATGACAATAAATGATATTTACTTAAGAATCTCCCCAAAATATTTTATAGGATAAAAGAGTGGAAGAAGATTATGATCGTAACAAGAAACTATTATAAACACAAATTGTACGCACAATCCTGCGACAACAAAACTTCCAGCAGTTCCCCAGCCGGATAACCTAAACGCTTCGCCAAACCCATCGTTAAGATCAGTGATGAAATTTTAGTAGATAACTCATATTTTTAACTATAGCGCAGCAAGCCAAAAAAATCTGAAAAATTTGAGAATGTTTGTCATACCAATATGTCTAATACTGTAAAAATTATAAAGTTGTCGCTTGAATGCTTCACTGCGAAATTTACATTTTTTTATTTGGAAAGGAGGGTTCATTTTTTATGTTAAGAATTTGGAATGGAAAAATCTTAAAAAATTCTCAGCCATGCACTGTAATGCCAAAAATGTTTCCGAATGTTTTCATAATTTTTACTTACCAGTAAATAGGGAAAGTGGAACAAAAACTGGTAATTAAAATTTATCCTATAACTACCTTTCTGCTTGAGATAGATAGGTTGAAAATTGGCGTACAATGTTTTTTTTATTGGTAAGCTATTGAAGGAAACTTTCTCGAGAAAAATCGGTCTAAGGACACTTTTGACCCCCTTATCCTACTATACCGTTTAATGTTAACTTGAACACTCGGGAATTAGAAAAAAATATATTATTTACGCCAAATGGTGATTTTAAAATGCGAAAAATTAATCTACAATTCAGTTAAAAAAATTAATTTTCTCCCTTAAAAAACAGAAATGGAAATTTAATATTTTTACGAAATCATCATTCTCCGAATTTTGCCATAAACCTCGTGCCCGCTCTGTACTTGTATTATTTCATTTCGAAGACAGTCCATCAAAACTATTGAAATTAAAATTTGATTATTAATTACAAAAGTAAAAAAGAATACGGCTTTGCTCGTCATTTATTCGACGCGTGAATTCGATGGTATCCGCGCCGCGATAACTATTCAAAAGCGTTTTCTTGCTTATCACATTTCAACCCCTCGTGGCTCGTTTGTTGACCATTCAACTCCGCGTAGCAACAAGTTAGGAGACCGCACACGGATGTGTAAGATACGTTTGGTGCAGACATATTCCTTTATTTCAGGGTTATCATACAGATGTAAGCACACATGTGAAAGTGACTTACCGCTAACTAAAGGCGCACACCCAATTAAAAAAAATATACGTTTAGACATCTATACACATCATTTATAATTCGGTCCACATATAAAACAGATTATCAAGTTCTCGTCTATACAACGAAGAGTAATAGTACTTATACTCCAGGAAAAACTCCGGTGCACCTACAGATTTCCGTCATTAAAATGACATGTTGTTTCAACCGATCAGCCCGCATTTGCAACATGTACACGTTGATCACAAAGTCAGTACGATAAAAAATTAAATTTCAGTTCAACCCTCGAAAGACTTGGCAAAATGATCAGCTTATGTATATACCGATTTCATTTCAGATATTTTCAAACAAAATCTTTACAGTTAACATTTTGGTCCTTCCAGTGGAGCACTAACTGCGAGTTCATCGAGAGCTGCCCTTTCAACTATTACACTCCACACATCAAATTCTTGCAGTTATCATAACTAATGGGCAAATAGAAAAGGCCCTTAGTCTTTCCAGGGTTGATGATCTACTTCCAAACTTCGGAATAATGAACGATCGGATACCTAGCCCAGACCAGGACCGGCACGTACTCAACCGGACAGGAGTTCTCTTGATTTCTGGGCACGAACTCCTTCGCGAGCGGGTTCAACGACTTGCTGGACGGTAGTTCCGGTACCAGGCTTACATGGTGTTTCAAGGTGGCATGGTCGATGCCGTGGAGGTCCGCCATTTCTAGGTACTTCTGCCAGAGCTTCCGACAGGAACCAATCGTCAGCAACGCGACTGGGTCGCCGACCACCGCGACTAGACACTTGGCCCGCGTAATCGCAGTGTTCAGTAGCCTAGGATTGGTTAAGAACCCGTAGTCCTTCACGTTCCTCTCCGCCGAGTATCGGCAGCAATTTCTGCTGCGCACGGTGCTGATGAACACCGCGGTGAACTGTTTACCCTGCACGTTCAGGACTCTCTCAACCGACACCTCGCCGAGCTTGTACTTCCGCAGTTCTGTGCGGATCATCTGCACTTGTTCCGCGTAGCAGGCCAGCACACCGATAGACCCCTCGCCATAGGTACCCCACCGGTTCACCGGCCAGTTCTGCTTCAACTCCAGAACACGGGCCACCAACTCACGCGCCTCACCCGAGTGAGCGTGGCCCGTCGACTGGAAGTCCTATCGACACAGAAACCCTAGATTACGGGTGTTGGAACTTGAAAATTGGAGGTATGGTCGGCAAATTCTTGCCGTGATTGTGATTTGACACTTGCCGAGATGAAAAGGTGTGGAAATACAAGTACTTTGATGCGAAAATGTCATTGTCAAGGGGATACGTGATCAATTTGCTGCGTCAATTTAAATGATGGTGCTAATTTAATGTAAAATGTCGGTCATTATTAATTGCTATGACACTTGGGCCCTGCGTCTATTGCTATTGTTGTTATTTAGACCAGTAATGAGTAACAAGATTGTATATAATAAGTAACATAGGCACAGTGCTTACAGAAAAATTTAAATGGGTGGAGAAGCCTAAAAATGGAACGCCGAAGAACCTCACCTAGATACCAGCATGCGGATAACCGACCTACCTGTACTTCCTCGCCTTGTACAGCGTAGAAAGTTAAAGGATGAAGGACAGGATGTTGCATCAAGAGATTCCTACCGGGCTCCACAATCCCGTCGTAAAACATTTCTGACGTAAATTTAATGATGTCCTTGTGAGAACGGTAATTCTGACACAGGTGTATCCTACAGGGATGGTTCTGCGGGTACATCTTGTACATCCTCTCCAATAAGCTGACACCTAGGCCGCGTTCGCTGGCAAGATTGCTGTAAATCTCCGGAGCCAGTTGCATCTGATCACCCGCCAAGATTAGACGGGTCTGCGGGGTCGCTAGGGACAGAGGAATCAGAACCTCGCATTCCAAAGCCTGTGCGGCCTCGTCTATCACAATATGAGTGAACGCAAGATTGAGATAGGTTAGAGAGCTAGCGGTTGCCAGTGTCGTCACGATCAAGCTGCAGTCGCGGAGATCCTCTTCGGTTGGATCGCGAAAGGTGCCGTTGTTTTTCATCAGACAGTACTCAAGGACCACCGGATGCACCTGAAATCGCGAAACGATGGCAAGCGAAATTGTTGCAACCGATTTTGCTTACTGTTTCATCGTTTTCTCGGTAGACGTACCGTATTTTTAGCTCGGCCCTTGTAAAGGACCCGCACCGGTTTCAATTGCGGACACTTCTCCGCCTTGTACCAACCGTCGAAGAACTCCTTCACGTAGAGATCCGCCGCGCTATTGCTATGGGTGCAGAGAAGTATTTTGTGTTTGCTACTGTTAGTGAGCAAATTGCGAAGAGCCTCGGCGATGGTGTTCGTTTTACCGGTTCCGAATGGTCCGAGCAACAACACGGGTGGAATGGTTATATCTGAGGAAGTAGTCATGACGGCTATCGCTTTTTTCTGATGAGTGTTCAGAAGCAGTTCCAGTATCAGCCTACTCCAATTCTTCGCGAAAGCGGCGCTGTCTTGGTTGAGTACATCCATAATGTTGGTTTCCTTGTCCTCTAAATCTTTCTTCATCAGGAAAACTAGCCCTACATCCGGCAGGCTGTCCACTGCTTTGTGCCATTCGCAGAACGGCAAACGGTTCAGTACAAATTGCGCCTGCACCATTATATCTGCATCTGCTATCAAGTTCAAGTCTTTCACACAGTCTTTCGATAGCCTAATGTACACCATATTTGTACACTTATCCTCTATGTGACCTTCGTATACTTTAGCTGATTCTGAATTTGTAAGCGAACACTTGAACAGCACTCTATTGCAACCTCTTAGGAACAGCCTGCCACTTTTCGTATCCTCCGAAATACTGCGGCTTAACGGCAACTGTGATAAAAATTCATTATAAATGTTTCTGGGGATCGAAGCGTGGAAGGAGAAAGTAAAACTTCCATCGTGTCACGAGAAGAGCGCGGTACGGAATGAAAGTATAGAACTGCTAATGCTAATCTCACCTGAGCAAAGAGCTCACCGGGTGGTGCGTACTTAGCAGTTGTGGACGCATCGCCCAAGGAACTCACAATATAGTTAGAAAGAAGACGCATTTGCGACAGTACATTGTATCTAGCAATTTGTTCATGTCTGGCTAATTCCTCAATGGTAATTAATTCGTGCATGCGACCTCTATAATTTTCTGGTGTTAAATGTTTATCGGTAAGGGTCTCCTGCGTTAAGAAGAAATTGTTTCTGTCAGGGTAAGGATATATCATAGCCAATTTGTTCTCTTTTGGATCTTTCGGTGGCACAAATGGTGACTCAAAACGTTGCACTTCTGTTAAACCACTGACCAGGTTTTTTGGGTTTTGTGAAAACTGATAGTTCGTGGCATTGTGTATTCTTTCAAGATCTTCAGGTGGTAAACAGTCCATACATAATTTCTGAAGTATAACAGGATACTTTCCAAAGTAAAACATAACATTTTGACGATAGGTGCCATATTTGTTAGCAACAAATTCAATTGTAACACAATATTCTTTGTTACATTCTGTCTGTGTGTTTATATCTGTACCACACCACTCTTGACCATTTGTTACTCCAATCTGGTTAATTGTATCAGTAACAGATTGCAGAAAAAAGTGTTGAGGATTCTGGTTCAACGGTAATGCTACAATTTGCAAACTTTTACCTGAATAAATAAAAGACCTCTATGTCTATTCCCATTACACAACATCATTGTTTCAATGACAAACAAAAGTAAATACAGATTCACAAGCCAATTAAAAGGATTACATAACACCTTCATTGCAATCGATGCTTACGCCGTACTTCGTTAATTGCTTTACTAATACTATTAAGAACACCATTGTATTCTCGTAGCCATTGACTATTTACATGTGCCTGCCAATATTGCTACCTATCAATTTCTAAACACTGATTCACTAGAGCAATGAAGATTAATAAGTACTTTACTGAAGCACGTAGGGAAAAACCATCCATCATTTCCAGAGACGCAAAGTGAAATGTGAGTAACAGCAAAAGTGTTAACGCAACGTTACTTTTATTTGATCAATACGTATGTGAATCTGGTTTACGGGTAACAAGAAATATACAAACAGTGTCAGAAAATGGTATGAAGCGAGACTTACCGCTGGTCCAAATCCGAAAAGTCCAGGTGTGAACAGTAACACTGTTCGTCGACCGGCAACAAAGATTCGGCTCATGGGAAATCAACACATCGTCGGGTGGTTTGCAAGTTACAATCGTCTCCGGATTTTCGGACTTGATCCAATTTCGGTGCATATAATCGGCAAAACCGAACGAAAACCAACGCTTAACCTCTCCGTTCATCGAAACTACAGGATCGACCATGATGACCGATTAGAATATCGAATACACGGTGGAGATTCGAACTCCCGTTACTAAGTAGGTCATAACACCGTACTGTTATTGATACTCTATAAACAATAGACAATTATATCTCTTCTAGCATTCTGACAACAATACCGTTGTACGGGAAACGCGACGCTAACACTGACAAGCTACTGATCGCACTGCGCAGTCGCAACGTATTTGTCAAACTGAAGCGCAATCCCTGACATCTCGCGGCTATTATCGTACTTACAAGTTTAAAGGTGGCGACATTACCGACGATAGGAGGGCGAAGAAGGGATGACAATTTTTCAATATTATCGGTTGACATTAGTGTATTGACGGCCTAACATTTAACCTTTTCGGTACTACCGTCGCCTATTGGCGACATCCACAAAACGTTCTCTGGGTACTCCAGTGAGGATTTGGAACATATTATTTATATCAATGCCATTTACTTTAATTAATGTACTGTGAAGAAATAGATATGATTTTAAAACGTTCAGCGCCAAGCCTGTTTTATGTGTCTTTCCGTCTGATCCGCGAGATAAGATTCCTTCCAAATCGGCTTTCGGCCGAGGATTGGTTTAGGTTACAACAAAGCAATATAAACATTTTAGAAATGTTTTTGAAACACGTTAAATGCCGCGTCAGTCACGTAAAACACGTTTTCGCGGCTTACGCTGCCGTACAGTGCAACCACTCTTGTGGAAAACTTCCTTGTACCACGAAGCTCCTCCGTGCCGAAAGGGTTAATCCCATAATTTGAATTAACATTAAAATTTGTTATTTTTAATTTAACATTAAAAATTAGTGATATATTAAACATAATTAAACATTAGTGAATTCAAAGAAAAACAAGGATTCAGCTTCAGCAAACCAACCCCGTAGAGCAAAATTCCTTATTTCCCAACAAGATAATAATTCCCACTAAAGTCTAAGCAAAAAAATATACCCCCCCAAAAACAAAACCCAACATGAGAAATTTATTATCTCACAGACAACCGATTTAATCTCCATCTTTCCCACAGCCCCACACAACCCCAAAGTAAAAGGTCGCGCAACTGTTCCTGGATGTAAATCCATTACCAAATCCCAAGCAAGAAAAACCCTTTCAAAATAGCCGCGACATGGGAGGATGAACGGCACGAAAAAAACAGCAACCGACCGGCCTGGAAACGGAACGAAATAAACAAGGGTGAAGGAACAAGCCAGACAGAGTCGTGTCTGACA